CTGCATCCTTTCACCACTTGCTCCTGCAAAGGCAAAGAGACAAAATCATAGATCTCATGCACTGCTAGCGTCGTTGTTAATCCAAATGCATTCTGCAGCAGGGAAATAAACTGGTTGAAGCAAGTCCTTGTGTGAGGTTGCATCAGATCAATGGTCAGCTCAGTAGAAAAGATACCTTGGCTACTATGGATGTGCTTTATGAGTCTTACTCTGTTATTCAGCTTGACAGCATGCTCAAAACAAATCTTATTTCACGGCCTTACACAGATGTAGAGCAAAACCAAAAGCTCAGGATTTGTAAGGTGGGCTTCCTATGGGATCATACCTCTCCGTGGTAAGACACACGAATGAACCACTCTTCGGACTGCCGGTGCCGATACAGTTCAAGGGTCACATCTGCAGCATAAGGGGGCCACTTGTGATCAAAGGTGCCCAGGGCCATCAGGAGAGGAATAAGGGTAACATCATGAGAAGCATACAGAATGAGCTTTCTGATGATTAAAAAAAAAAAAAAGAGGAAAAAAAATCATCCTAAATGATTAGCTGTCTTTCTCCATGGATAGTCAGTATCGCTTATGCTTTTTCTAGCAGACAAGCACTCATTCTCTCTACCCACCCTCTGAACATCCTTCTGAACCAGTTTTTCACACTGACAGCAAGTCAGAATTTAGGATTAGAGGGAGAGATCTGCCCTGTACCTGGACTTTTCAGCTGGAGATGAGGGATCTGCTGCTTCTGTAATGTTCTTCTGTAAGGTATAGAAAAGGAGACCAACACTCATCTGAAGAACTTCTCTATAAAAGAAGCAGAAATAAATCTACTAACTTTTTAACCTTCTAGTTACTTAATTTCAAATGAACACTTGTAAACCTGCTTTTCTCTTACAAACTGATAATGTGTATTGAATGCAGCTAAGAACTACTGAATGTGATCCCTATGATTATGTTTCCTTTCAGCAGTTGCTTACTCACCGCAGAGATTCCAATGTGATTGCAGGAAAGGGAGAAATGCTCACAAGATGTGGTATGCTAAAAGGAACGCCCAGAAACTCCTTGATGTTCTCTATCCTATTTTGTTTCCCTATCTTGTGATTCTGGAAGCATAGATTTTACTAGCGAAGATGACAGTAGCTGACTCTAAAAGAACAACTGAAGTGTTGGGTGCCTTTGGGAGTAGGAATAAGAAGAAAGCTACTACTTTCTTTTTTTCTTTTTTAGTATTGTTGTCTCTGTAGCAGAAAGGAGCTCTTCAGATGACTTCTGTTGTGAAGAAACTGTCTAATTAATGAATACCTAAGTGGAAATGGGAGTATGACTGTGATTGTGGCTGTACTGGGTATTATAGAATTGGGAGAAAACTCATTCAATACTTGAGATCTCTAATACAAGATAAGGAAAAGGCTAAGGCCAAGTGCCCTCCCAGAGAAGGCAGCCCTATGCCATCATCTGAGAAGAGCAGATGACTGTGGCAGCTGTGACGGATTCTGGAAAGCTGCTGCTAGGTTAGCAACTTCACCACCTGTGAAGCAAGTAATTAATTGCATGTAGAAACAGTTCTTTTGCAAGTTGTTACATGTGTAGAGCTGGCATTACCTTCTCCTCTAGCATCAACACTTTGCAGCCCAGCTGTGCAAGTGCCATCTCTGGAATAAATGCACCTGGTCGGAATTCAAAACATACTTGTGTGTCTGCAAGGACAGCCTTGCCTTGTGCAGCTTCAGCACCCAGGCTTGAAGCATTTCTCTTCTGCTTTTGCTTGTAACACAGGTTCACTGATGCCACTTTATCAACTGAACCATTCACTGCTTACCAGTGGCTTGCTCCTGTTTCCTGGACATTAATTCCTCCATGGCTGCCAGCAAAACAGGACCTAAATACACATCTTGCCTCCTCAGTATGGGCTCCTTTGTCCTAGATCATATTCCTGACTTGAGGCACTGAACTTGGTGTTGGGATGGCTGAGGCACAGACCTGATGAAAGGACAACAACCTCTGATAGGGAAACTGAGCAAACTGGAAAGTACTCTTCCTGTCTGCCACTGTAAGCTGGTACAGCTCATCCAACCTGGGGAACCTAAAACAAAGGCTAAGGCTGGAGGCACGAACAGAAGCTATCACCTTGAACCGTCTTCCAGAACGAAAAGCAATGACTCTATGCATCGACGCTCGATAGTCTGCTGAAAGTCTTTCAGCACAGGGCAGCTTGGCAAACCGTGCACCTGGAAGGAAAGAAGGCAGCATAAGAACAGGTTTGCTCTTTTCCATGCCAATGCTGAATCCACATAAATGATCACCTTCAGAAAACAGCTATTTGTATCGCAGCGTTTGTACTACTGTGCATGCTACAATTCTCACATGAGGTGTTCTAGTATGTTTTTTTAAACACAGAGACTTGTTCTATGTACTAGAAGATTGGATGTCTTTTCTTGATGCTAGGTGAAGAAAGTATAACAGGCCTTGAGCTAGTCAACTCGCAGCAAGACCACCAAGTCCAATCACCAATTACTAGTTGCTCCAGCAAAAAACGGTGTATTAAGAAGAGACACAAACATGCCCAGCTCTCTTCCAGAAGCAGAGACAATCTGGCTCAGGTGTAGTATGCTGGAACCAGAATTAAGATGATCTTGTTAGGTGCTGACTACCAAAAAAAGGGACAACACTGTGCAGTGGGGTAAACAAGGACCAACCACACTCTTAGATCTACTGCATTATGCTTGAAAAAAAGATACTGGATTTCAAGGTAAGAACATGAACATGGGAGATGCATCTAGAAGAAGGCTGACTCTGTTATCTTGCTTTTCAGAAAGACCAAACTGTTTCTACTAACTTCCTGAATTGCATAAAGAGGTACTGGGATACCCAATAGTATCAGTGAGAGTTGGCACCTCTATTATCTTCTCCATATGCCTGGGGTCAGGAAAAAAAAGAAAAAGATTGTTTCTTTATACGACAGTGCAACAGATCACCAGCTCACCTGCTCAGCATTAATGTTATCAAGGAGGAGAAAAAAATCCACAGACTCATCACCATCAACACCCATCTTCTTCTTAATTGTTTTTAAGTCCTCAGAGATAGCTGGCTGTAGCTGAGCATCCTTCAGCTTCTGCCTGTCAGGGAATTGGGGAAAAAAAAAACAAATAAGCCAAAAGCTGTTCACACATCAGGCTTTTTATCTCTCAGTTTTTTTGTAATTCCCAGTCCAGTGGAGCTGTGTCCTATCAGTAAGGGGTAGATGCACCAGAGGAGACTGAAGGATTCCTGATGATGGGAGTCTCAGAGGCAGAGAGGACAGACACGATGTCAGCAGTTGGCATCTGCGCTCACAGAGACAGGGGAAGAAAAATTGAGATGAGATGTTAACATCTCCTACAGGACGTTCCCATAAGCAAAGGCTGTGTATCATCAGTTAACAGATCTCATCATACCAGAAGATTGCAAGCCTATTATCTCTGGGGAACAGCCTTTAACTACCTCATGGAAGGAAAAAAAGGTAGAAGCTTTGAACAGATTTATTCATGCTGTGGGAGAAGAGAAATACCTAGAAAATCACTGGCAGCTTCAATTCTCCTCTCACTCTGCTAGAACCCAACGCCTCATTACAATGGTTTGAGCTATATTTTTAACTATTAGCACTGACTATACTTGAAGCTAAGTATACTGCAGATTTTTGTCTCTTACCCTTGTCTGCTGGGGGAGAGATTAGAAAATTTGGTGCTTTTTTATTGTTTGCCTTTTTCTTTTTTTTTTCTTTTTCCCCCCAGAAACATCTGTATTTTCTGCTTGAAATCAAAGGCACTAGAAGTTCTGGCATGGGGGACCTCTGGGCTGGGTCACTACTTCTTAATGCAGCTTAAAAAATCCATCTTGATGTGGTTGCAAAATGTGCAGTTAGTGAGATGGGGGAAAGAATGGGAGGATTTACACCTTACTCTCCTTTTGCACTGCTGGTATCACTAGCTGAGTCTGAATATACTTTGGCTTTTCTGAATAGCTTCAATGGATTGTCACCTCACCACTGTCATGAACAACCTGTTGTCTGTAGTGTTGAGTGTTATACAATAAGCTTTTGCAAGTGAATTCTGAAAACCCTTAAGATATCCTGGGACAAAAATATGCTAATATACAATCCAACCAAATGGTGATATATTTGCCTTGTTGTCTGGTTTCCACCCCGCGCCCAACCTGATATAAACATTTATGGAATATTTGATTCTGCAAACATGAGTGTTCTTTTTATGTAGGATGTTTCTTATTTTAATTCAATAGTTTTTGTTCAACGGGTCAAGGTGGAGTATATTTCAGTTTCTTGAAAGTATAAATGTGGCAGGAGAAGATTAATTTAAAAGGAGGCCCAATGGGTTCGCACGTTAAAGTGTGTTAAAGGATGCAGGTGACATTAATTCTGTCCCACAGCAATGCCACAGAACACATTAGCTGGTAATGAGTGTTTGCTAGTTGCAGGCTAAATTCAATTGGTCTTTCAAAAAAAAAAAAAGTGTCTGGGTTTTTTTGTTTTGTTCTGGTGCTACTGCTTCATACATGACTGTGCTCACCTCATGTTTTAAACAGTTAGCTACGCATTCCCAATGGGCAGCAGGAAATGGAAAGAAAACATGCTGTTTTAAATTACTGTTGCTGAAATGAAACTGCAGTGAAATCATATGGGAGGGAGTTTGGCTGGCAATTACCTGGTCAAGCACTTCAGGCGCTGGCAGTTGTAGTAATTGGGGTAGAGGATTTCCGAGCTTGCTTCATCAGTGACAATGACAACAGGTCCTATGGAATAAGAAGGAAGACTGTGTGATTGCTAGTGTATGTGTCTTCAGACTCCTTTAATCACTCCCGCAGCCTTTGTGTTCAAGCCTACTCTTGTCAACTAGCAATTCCCACTGAGCTATCACTAGCAACACAATCTCCTGTGCTTGCTGCTGCTCACTCAGCATTTATTTCCATAGTGCTATCTGCTGTGTACCTTGTAATATCTCCTAGTTGCATGTTCACTTTTGTTTTTTTCTTCTTTTTTAGTGTTTGTTTGCATGTGTCAAAAACTAGTTTCTGTGTCATGAAGCATACTGATCTCTGGCCAGGTCACTTTTGTTATTTGTTCCTGGAACTCAATACAGAGGGAGCAGAGGTGAGATCTTAAAAATCCAGAGTGTATTTCTAGGACATACAGGTTAGTTGTCAACTATCAAGATACAGCTGAAAGTTACTCCAGATACTGAACTTGCAAAGGATCTTGGTACTCCTACTGCTGAGAGACTCTGAGCCTCAAAGTTTTTTCAGATGTGACAGTGCATCTTATAAACACTGGACCTGGAACTCTTTGCTTTCTTGATTCTGAAGTTAATGCAAACCTCCTCAGCAGGTCTGAAATTGCAGCATTGATGGAACAGATCCAAGCACCAGCAGTAAGCTACACAAAGAAAGGGAGGCAAGTGACAAACCGATAAAGAAAGTACCGAACAGAGATTGGGGAAAAGGGCCAGGGGCAAAGAGCTTACGAAGCAACAAGCAGGAGCCAGGGAGAGTCGGGAAGTGAGAGGTGTGTGCATCTAGGAAGACTGATAAAAGGAAAGGTACTGGTCAGAAGTCTCCCTAACCTTCTTTTTGCTGTTGGTACAGCCCAGCTAGTAGGCATCGCGTAGATTCCAGGTTCCGGAAAATATTAGTGGAACGGATACTGAAAGAGAGAAAGCAGCGTGTGAGGTAGCACTTTCTCCTTCACGTGGCTGGAGCTGCAACCGGGGAGGACTTGCTGGAACTGAGGATTCAGCTTTCATCACGGCTTTAGAAACCTGTGCATGGGTTTCATCTCACCCTGCTATACATACCTTAAAATACAGACACCTCTATCTTAAGTGCCACGTAACTTCCCTTCGAAGATGGTGGAGATGAAAAATGGCCACTTATCTGTAATTTTATCTCCCAGCACTAATGATGCAAGCAGCAGCTATGTGCTTCATCTCAATGAACTTTAGACTGTGCCCCAGAAACACCTGTTTCTCTTCACTCACCATAAAAGCGCATAACGCCATTGCCTGTGGCTAACCCTAAGTGCGATGAATTTGTCCCTCGCATCCCCGCTAGGAACTGGGATGCTTTGTGTTCTGAGGGAGGTCTCACACGAGGCTCAGCGGAAAGTTTCCCTAGCACAGAGGTACTTGCAAGCAAAGGAAAGTCCAGAAAGGTACTAAGAAACTCACAAGACCTCAGAAGGCTTAAATGCTGGTGAGAGAAAGCTGGCTTCCTCTACGTAGCTCCTCCTCAGCCTTTCCCCCAGGGCAAACATCTGCTGCATCCCGACAGCGGTCAGCTGTCCGGCCAGCGCACCACCCTGCACACAAAGAAGAGGAAGGGTCTCGCTGGAACATGCCAATAATACAGCAGTCTGCAGAGGGAATCCTGGAAGAGAGCCTCACCTTGAAAGCGGTTTTCCTGTAGCGTTCCTCATAGGGCGAGGGAGGCTGCGGGCCGCCACGGAGGTCGGTCACCGTGTAGTCCAGCTTGGTGTGAGCGGGCACCTCCAACAGACTGGGCGGCCACTCCACCTGCTTCGAAACAAACTGCTTCAGGGGAGCACGAGGGTTTCCAAGGGTCCTAAGCCAGCGCTGGACATCAATGCCCGTTGCCCGGCCGCTAACGCAGCGCAGTGCCGAACCGAGCCTTCGTTCCGCTGCCGGCCGCCTAACCTCAGCTAACTCCCGACTACATCACGTTCCTCCCAGATCAAAGAAGCGAACCGGCGCCTACAGCCGCCGCCCCGCGCCTCCTCACCGGCGAAGCCCCCGGGACGGGCCGCAGCGGAGTGCGGGCCCCGTGCCGGAACACCACTTGCACCAGCCGCAGCTCCAGCTCCCGTCGCTCCCCGCCCGCAGGGCCCTGCGCCGCCGCCGCCGCCCGCCGCCGCTGCGTCCACGCGGCCAGGCCGCCCAGCAAGCCCAGCCGCCAGCCCCAACCCATGGCGGCGGCACTGCCGGCACCGGACGGCTGGGGCCGCGGAGGACGTCGGGAAGCAGAGTCCCCCGCGGGCAGCGCCCAGTAGGCGGGCGCGGCAGAGGACTACGGCTCCCAGCGGGCACCGCGCCGCGCCGCCGGGAAACCGCTGTGCGCCTGCGTGGCTGCGGACTACAGCTCCCAGCGCTGTGTGCGGACGCAGGGAGGGGCGCGTGGGGAGGTTCCTTCCTGTCCCGCCTCAGGGGATGACGCGTGAGTTTGGGGCGGGCGGTAAATGGCTGTCCGGTGCTCCGTGGTTTGAGGTGGGGTTTGTAGGCTGAATAAGAGTGGCTGAAATCGTCCACTCGGCAGGCTCAGGGTTTCCTGCTTCAAGGGTAGCCTGCTGGAACAGGTTGCCCAAGGAGGCTGTGGATGCCCCATCCCTGGAGGCATTCAAGGCCAGGCTGGACGTGGCTCTGGGCAGCCTGGTCTGCTGGTTGGCGACCCTGCACATAGCAGGGGGGTTGAAACTAGATGATCTTTGTGGTTCTTTTCAACTCAGACCATTCTATGATTCTACTGGAGAATCGTGGATGAGCCCTGTTCAGCACAGCAGCTCAGTTCTTGCTAGATTTTAAAGGCCGGTACCCTCAAACAATCCTGCAGTAGGAATTGTATGTTACAGATGGGAACTTGAGGTAATGGTAGATTAATGTTCACCCTTATTTTGATGGGAAGATACAGGCATAGGAACCAGGTTGCCTGAGCATCACTTCTGAGGGAGCCTTTCTCAGACCTCTGTAGGAGCAGAACCCAGAGCTGATGGAAACAGAGCTTGTGGGGCTTCCGGTTGGCAGGGTAGTGGCAGGAGAAGAGCAGTGCAGTGCTGTGTGCAGGGAATAGTCCAGGGCAATAGGAGAGGATAGCAACATGCACAGTGGGCAGAGACAGCAGGTGATGCGGGCAGTGAGGCACAGCCACCTGCACCTCTATCCTGCGCAGGTAGGGGATTTGGTGATCTTGGTGTCTTAAAGCAGTGCTGTTCCTACAGGGCTGCCTGAATTCTCCGAGTAGGGATGTTCAAAACAGAGTCACGGCTATAGCAGAGAGGTGGAAAAGACTATTGCAGGAGCTAATCAAATAACAGATCAAGAGAAATTAAGCCTCAGTGTGTGGGGTGTGAAGGAAACAAAGATGCTGAATGGAGAGGGAATAGGAAAATGTAGTTAAGCTACAGGGAACGGGGAAAGAGGGGGAGAGAGACGTGGTGTGATGTAAGTGAGCAGAGGTGGAGGGAGGGAAGAGGCTGGCAGCACACTGATTTACATTTCCATTCGAATGTTACCCTGGAAGAAAATCCCAGCCTCTGTGAAGCTGTGAGGACTGAGACTGCAGTCCCTCCTGGGGGGATTTGGCTGCTCCTGAGCAACGTTACTGTAGAGATGTATTTTAGAATATATCACGCCACAGCAGGTGTGTGCAATTAGAGGAGAGCTCTCTGAAATAGCAGGCAGCTGTCAATTTTTTAGCAAGTGGTGTTGCCCATTTTTGCTTTGTCCAACTGTGTAGTTATTCTAAGATGTGTCTTCTTTACGGAACTGTTTTCTGAGGATCTGTTATTTTCACCCTTCTGTAGCGTTTTGCAACTAGATAAGGAGCAGGAGGCTATTCCAATGGCCGTTGTGAGTAAACTGTTTCACTGAGGATAGTTAATGAGCCCTAACAAATATCCAAGTTTCAGGAACTCTTTCTCCTACAAGCAGAGCACAGATTTTCTCCTGGCTGGAATTTAACCAATTTACAACGATTACTACCTTGGCAAAGTATTACTATTCTTATCAATCATTTACCTTTTCATAATATTCCACAAACATATCATGCCTCAGAGCACTCCTGTATGGTAACCTTGCAGTTACGTTCTCATTTTCTTGAAAAGAAAACTGATTCATAGTGAGTTTCATAGTTTGACCAAACCACACAGTCATTATGTGCTAAGATATGCCCACTGTTGTTTACTTGAGTCCTGTCATGATCAGATTTTTATTCCACAATGCTCTTTGAAATTAGTGTTTAAAAAGCCCCCTGATTAAACTAGTTAGCCTGACACGTTTGAGTGTTGTATTGTTTCTTGGACCACCCGGATGCCTTCTCCCTGAACAAATGGCTATAGCTGTTTGTAGTGTAAATTAGAGATACCATAAAATGCCCGCACAGTAGGAATGCAAGCAGAATTTGGGTGCCCCTAAGGTAGATACACTTTTCTGGGGTAGGAAGAAGCAGAAAATAGACTCGTATTGACTCTGGTTTCTTTGCTTCTATTCTGAATGCCTTTTGCTTAGCGAAGGGAGCGAGCTCCCAGCAGGTGTGTGCAGCCACAGGCTGCAGCTGTGCTGGGAAGTGGGCAGTGCGGCTGGCTGCCGCAGGAGGGTGACACAGCCAGGCTGACATCAGTGTCCAAAGCCAACCATGAGCAGCTAATGCCCAGCGTGGTGTCTCCCTGCCCCAGTCTTGTGGAGCGCAGAGTATCTGTGTGAGGTAGAAATGGTGGAATCTTATTGTGGGTGTTCTGCTATATGACTTCTCCCACAAAAAAGTGTTCCTCTGGCTGGGTTTCCAATTGATTACAAAGTGCTGCTTTTCACTCTGGTCTATGAGTGCCCAAATGTCAGATGTAACTGTAACTGTCAGGTGCCTTGCGGTGCGAGCAGTACTCGTGCACAATCACAGACCTCTTTACACTGCCACCAAAAGGGCCCTCACCTTTCTCAACTGTAGTGCTAATGGTGCTGTCTCTGTCCTGCAGCAATTAATAACCACAGTGACTATAATAAACTAGTCAGTCTGGGCATGTAAGCTGTATAGCAGTCAGAAAGAGTGGAAATTTATTTATAAATTGTTTGAGTATGCTGCACTGCTTCCTGTGGAGCTACGTCACTCTTGTCTCTGCTCCAGTCTGTCTGTTGTTGTAAACCTTCAGCCAGCTGCTCTGTGAGCAAGGCATCCCGGGAAATGGAAAGAATGTTTCCACTCTTCATTTCGGTGACCCTTTGGGGTGGAATTGGCAAAAAATAAACTCCTAAGTGCCACCAGACCAAGCACCATTCATAGTACAGCGTGTGGATCTATGCATCTCATCTCTTTCCCTGCAGGCTTTCACAACATCAGTTTATTTTCCTTGTTTTGGTAAAATTGTGTGTATTGATACTTACGTGTCATTTCTGAATTTTTGGGGTCTGTGAGATGCAACCCTGGAAGCTGGAGCTGTGGCATCCAGAGTCAGCATCAGGAGGACATTTTCAGAGATTTTTTTTTCTCTGGATTTCAGAAACAGCATATCAGATGGTTGGTTGTTCTGAGTGCCCTTTGCTGGGGACCACGTTATTTTCCCTCTTTTTTCTCCTTTTAAATTATACGATTGGGCATTCGGTCCCCGTGAGTGGTAGAAGCAGGCCGAATGCTGGGTAGCATGCTGGTTGTGTAGCTGTTCATCCCCTGTCCTAGTGCAAAAGATACACTCTTTGCCTTCTGTTTTTCTTTTGTTCAAGCTCTGTCATCCTAACCTGCATGGCCTACAGCCATCTGCTGCATTTGGTCATCTGTGGGATTATGCACCTCTCTGAAATAACAGTGAGCCAGTTTTCTTGTCAGGTGTAGGTGTT